GGCCATGGCGCGGGAGGGCCCGGTCCGCGGGAGCGCGCGGTGCCCGGCCTCCTCGAGCGCCCGCGGCGGCGTTCTGACAGCCGCGCTAGCTCCGCGCGCGCTCTCACAGTCAGTTCACGCGCACACACGTTCGCACACTTGCACTTCACGGGCGCTCAGTCACACACACAGTGCAACGGCCATGGCTGTGTCACACGTCCACCCTCATTTTAGACACAATTCACATGCACACCCGTTCACAACTCACGTGTACAAAATTCACATGCATGCGCTCCTACACATGCAAGTCGTGTTTATACATTCTCACAGTCAGTTCACGCGCACACACGTTCGCACACTTGCACTTCACGGGCGCTCAGTCACACACACAGTGCAACGGCCATGGCTGTGTCACACGTCCACCCTCATTTTAGACACAATTCACATGCACACCCGTTCACAACTCACGTGTACAAAATTCACATGCATGCGCTCCTACACATGCAAGTCGTGTTTATACATTTTCACACATGCACTATTTGCACACACAATTCACACGTGTACACAAATGTGATGAAAAATGTCTATTCATATTTGCTTGCATACCTGCACGTACCCACAAGGGCCACTGTAGCTGGTGCTTCCCTCTAATTGTGCCCCATGTTGTCACTACCTCCTAATTCCCTTGCCTGTATGCCATGCTGTGGCCTACCCCTAAGTCCCCCAAAATAATAAGGTTGCTTGGTGGAGGGGCAGCCCAGAAAATTGATGCTCACTCTGTATAGAACAGCAGCATTGCAAGCTTCCCTTAGTCATGATTCATCACTAATTTGAAAGGCTTCTCATAGTTGGAGGACAACTCATTTGTCCTCTTTTTAGCCACCAATGCAGCTGTAACAATAACATATAGGTCAGAAGTCAGCAACCTTCAGCACCTGAGGGGTAATCCACTGTTGGACCGTGAGACCTTTTGTTTACGTTGGCCATCTCTAGGCCCACTCCCAGTGGCCGCAGTTCACCATTCCCAGCCAATGGGAGCTGCGGGAAGCTGTGGCCAGCATGTCCCTGCAGCCTGCAGGTATGTTATGCATAGCTTCTCCTGCTGGCTAACCATTATAATACAGTTTCACATTCTATTACAAATACTAATGTTGACTGTTTTAAACTCACCTTACGATATTTGCCTTTTATTTTGAAATACTCCAAACTGAAGGAAAATCCAACTTCAAACAACCCACTAAAATATCCAGAGTAACAAAGAATGATAAAAAAAGCTAGTAAAAGAAATAAGAAATATATATAATCAATATATAACATCAATTGTTAAACTACTTGATGTGAGTTGGCCCCTAAGTAAATAAGATTGCCCAGGTATGGGAGAGGAGGGGGCTTTTTGTGCATAGGGTGGGCCCTAGCCTTTCAAAGAGTACATTAGAGCAGGCAGGAAATTGGTTTCTTATACCATGAGAGCTTTTGAAATATCTCCGCTGTGAAGAATTCCGTCAAAGACATCCCCTGGAGACTGTCACCTGATGTGTTGAAATCCCACGAGCCCACCTACCTGCCCTTTGGGGTGCCCCACCTTCCTAAGCTGCTGAGCCAGACCCTCCGGTCAACTCCAGCAATGGCACAGAGTTGGGGTCACAGCCCACAGCAGAGCAACACAGACACTGAGAACAGCTCAGTTCGGGAAGGTTCGGTCAAAGGGACTTGACAAAGCACCCAGGAGCACAGCCCCAGTGGGACCAGAACCCCCGATAAATCTGTCTTACTCTGTGTAAAGCCCTTTATCAATGAGAGCGAGATGCATAGCTATTATCAAAACCCTCCCCAGTAACATTTACACTGGGTTTGTTTATAAAAGTGATTTTATTAAGTATAAAAAGTAGGATTTAAGTGGTTGCAATACTAATAACAGACAGATCAAAGTAAGTTACTAAGCAAAATAAAACAAACCACACCAGTTAAGCCTAGTGCTCAAAGAAACTTGTTACATGCAGTGTCTTACCTTGACAATAATTGTAATAATCTTTTCTCGCAAGCTGGAAAGCTTAGGTGGTAAACAGGCATCTGATCCTATTGTTTGTTTTCCCACCTTTATATTTCTGTTGCCAAAGCCAGAAATCCTATGTGTTCAGTTTAAAAAATTTGACACTTCCAATGGAAAAGTAGGGCATCCAGAATGGGTTCCAGAATCATGTTTTGGCAGGACCATCCATAGTCCAGGCTCTCAGAAAAAGCAAGTCTATTCACAGATCATTGTTCCAAATACTGGGCCATTAAGTTCCTTGATTACTACTAGTGGCCCTCACTTGGCACATCTAGACAAGTAAACAGGTTTATACTTCATAACTCTAACTTCAAATATAGCAATTATTCATGCACACAAATAGAATATGCACATTCAGCAGATTATAACTTTTTAAATTGTATGTTACATAAATTATTTTCCATAATTCCGTATTTGAATTATGTCATATCCCTATTCATAAGCATATTTCCATAAAGAATATAAGGTGCAATGTCATATCCCCATTTTTAGTAAAAAAATCTTAATAATTTTCAGTTGTCAATCTGATTTTTTTTACAAAATTAGTTCATTTTGTTCTGATCATCTCAAAACATTTTCTTTCAGTTCTGAGCTTTGTTTAAAAAAAAGTCTGAATACATTACATTTTAAAAGAAAAAGTCATTTCTTCAAGCCAGACAACTAAATTTTCATTTGGAAAAATGCCAAAAGACTCCATTTAGACTATTTAAAAAAAAACTTTTTTCTCCAAAACATTTTCAAATTGGGGAAGTCAGCAAAACAGACTATTTCCCTCAAACCATTTTCCTATGAACAGACATGTTGCTGGAAAATCCCCAACCTGCTGTAGTATATACCCTGGGTCTAAACCAGTCACAATCTTTCTTGTACTGTGGCCTTGTAAGTCACAGCATCCTGGATCACAATCTCCTGGAAAACCTACCTAGATCCACCTTCAGGCTGGTTCCCTCCCCTGATGGTGGGCTGTGGAGCAGAGAGTAGGCTTGATGTTCTCCCACACACTTTCTGCTGCCTCTTGGAAGCTCTTTTTTCCAGCCAACTTTGTATCATACCTTCCAAGATGCCAGCACCCTCAATTCCCACTGAAGCCACCAGTAGTACAGGATGCTCAGCACCTCCTGTGAGGAATTCAGCACTGTGCAGCATCTGGCCTTTGTAGTGGCCAGACATTGTGAGAGTCTGAATTATGGTCATGGAACTGAAATGGGTTGAAGGAAATGAATGTACCATCAGAGGCTCCTGTCACTGAGGGTATGTCTACACTTGCCCCCTAGTTCGGACTAGGAAGGCAAACGAAGCATACTGAAGTTGCTAATGAAGCGCAGGATTTAAATATTCCACGCTTGATTATCATATTCGCGGCCAGTCGCCCAATTTAACTTGCAGCGTGTAGACGCGGTAGTCCGATCCAAAATCCTTCCCTCGAATTAACTGTTACTCCTCATTGCATGAGGAGTAACAGTTAATTCGAGGGAAGGATTTTGGATCGGACTACCGCGTCTACACGCTGCAAGTTAAATTGGGCGACCGGCACTTTAAAATGGCGACCAGCAGTGAATATGCTAATCAAGCACAGGATATTTAAATCCCGCGCTTCATTAGCAACTTCAGTATGCTTCATTTGCCTCCCTAGTCATATTTAAATCCCATGCTTCATTAGCAACTTCAGTATGCTTCATTTGCCTCCTTAGTCCGAACTAGGGGGCAAGTGTAGACATACCCAAGCAGAGTGGGTGGGACAGGACGCCATGTAATAAGAGTCTAAGCTGGATCAGAGTCTCCTGGACTGTCCTGCAGTCTCCAGGAATTAAAGATTACTGTTTAATTAAAGCTTATGTCATACGATGAACCTCCAGGAATGCATGCAACCAAAATGAAAAACATGTAGAGCTATGTAGAGCCTTAGTGGCAAGGACAGGAAATTTAAATACAATTCACTTGGTGATGTGGTGCTAGTTGTAGGATTCAAGCAGAGAACAGCTTGATGTAGAAAGGAGGTAATTTTAGCAGCTGTGTTTTGGAGGGACTGAAATAGGAATGGTACAACTCATCTAAAAGATTCTGCACTCCCAAAGAGAATCCATCACTCTTTTTTTCCCCTGTGATGCCATCTAGTGATAGTATTAAGGTTACAGACATTTGAAACTTTACAACCTCACTTTCTCTTTCTCCTGCTCATTCATGGAATTCAGTGTGCATTAGTTACTGGTATATACTTCTGTAGATTCCGAGGAAACAAGAATATTCCGGAAGCCTCAGATATGCCTAATCATCGGCTAGAACAATGCTCAGCCCAACTTAAAGAAGCAGTGAAAGTAAAATTTTTGAGGTACGTGTTACCAATGTGGAACAGCAAACAAAAAAATTAAACAGGAGCATTTCTCT